TAATCGATAAATGAATGTAATAGATAAATGGATGTAATAGATAGATCGTTATAAGAAACATAGATGTAATATATAGATAGAGTAATAGATGGATAGATGTAAAAGATATGTAAGATATAGAGAGATATAGATAGTTATGTTAGATATATATATATTAGAGAGATATAAATTATATCGATAGATTAAATAGATAGATAGATACAGTAGATAGATATAACAGATACAAGAGATACATAGACATAAAATATAAATAGATATAATAGATAAAAAAATATATAGATTTAAGAAATAGATAGATGCAATCTATAGATACTTGTAGTAGATAGAGAGGTTAAGATAGTTAAAATAGATAGATATATGTTATATTGACAGATTTCCTTCTCTTTTTTTCTGTTTGATATTCTTAAATTCGTCAAGAAAACTAATAAATTTGATTTTGAGTACGGTAATATATTTCTTTTGAATATTCTGAATATTTCTTTTGCGTTGGAGCGCAATGGGTAACAGACTGTATTTTTCTTTAAAAAGAAAAACAATTTTTTTTCAATGTTGAGACTCTAATCTGAGTCAGTCTAAATCTGATTCAGTCTTTCTTAAAACGGAAGAATGATTTACTGTAATAACAACAAGATCTATTAGGTGTGATCTTGTAAGGATACAACAAGGTCTATTAAGTCTGATCTTGAAGGACACAACAACAAGGTCTATTAGATCTTTTTTGTAATTGATGTTTCAATTTTAAATATTAAATTAAATTCCATTTTTTTTTTATGGATAAAATTTGTCTTTATTTTTTTGAATTTAATCTTTTAAACTTAATAATGCATATAAGTATATACAAGTTCTGTAGAGTTGGTTTTACGGTTTTTCTCAAAGACTGATAGAAAACTCTTATTCGATTATTTGTTGATAGTTTTGATCCGTGTATCTCATAGTTTAATAACCTTAAAATTATAATAACAGGACGGTCTTTGTTTTCGATCAAACAATGGAAAAAGTGAGTTTGTTATTAAATTTTTTAACATAACTTAAATCATTCATTTGAATTTTCGCAAAAATCAATGCAGTGTTATTTCTAGAGGTATTCGAAATAACCACATGGTCATGAAACATAGAACGATTTTTTCATGCTTGTATCTTAGAAAAATTAGATTTAGATGAAATTAAAATGTTTTGTTTTCATGAACTCTGTGATTTACTAATGTATATATTAACTACGATGAACTATATTGCTAAAGACGTACATCTACTAAGTTGTCCTCATAATATTTTAAAAAAAATAAAGTTTGTGTTTGCACACAAGATAAGTGCATTCATCCACCAACTTTCTAATTTCTCAGCCCTACCATCAGATTCTAATCCAACTTAATTTCTTCATCTCTTACAACGGATTAATAAAGAATATTATAGAATATATTTCTTTAAATTAGTCTTATTCTGTTGAAATAAATTTAATTGCTTAAAACTCATAGTCACCAATGTAGCATATATTGAAATCATTATAGCTGTTATGTTAAATTTAGATATTAATAATTAGGCACCTGTTATTACATTCTAATGCTATCATTATAACGTCTTAAATCTCAAATAAAACTTTTTTACTAATATGAAAATATTAAATATAGTAAAACAACTGATTTTGTTCTAATTATCTTAGCACCGAGGGAGTAAAAGTAATTCCTGATATATAGAAAAACCAAACCATTATATATATATAAAAATGATGTGTAATAATATAATAAATTCCATTAGTTAAAAAAATATTAAATATTAAATTAGTTATTTAAATAAAAAGGACTAAATGGTAAATGAATATCATTATATATACATATATGTAATATTGTATTATATTCTAATTACATATTCGTTAATTAATAAGTGTCAAAAAAGAGTGCGTCCGCCAATGTGTTTTTCAATAATCAATATATAATTAAAATATTTCTTAAATTTGTGTTTAAAGGTAAAAAAATTGGTTAAAATTCCTTTTTAAAAATGCATTAAAATTGAATAATAAAAGAAGAAAAGTCTTTATTATTCCGAGAAAATAAAGTGTTGCAAATGAGTTATAGTGAGTAGTTTACATTCGAATCGAATCTATATAGATATATATATATTCATTTATATATATATGTACATGCACAAAATTATATATACACCGCAAATTTGTATATATATATATATGTCTAAACGCAAAATAACTGTCGTTAAGTTTGTGACCTCTCCGAGTGCCGCCTTGCTACAGCTGAGAGCAACCGATCTCGAATTACGAAGCACCGTCACAATGCCAAGATATTTCAAGAATGAAATCAAAATCAAGTCAACTTCTCAAGTCAAACACACGTTGCACCTAGTATTGGTATGATTATATATTATGCTATAAAATTGACAAAACACATATATATTCATATATATATATATATATATTGTTCATATATCCTTAATATTGTTCAAAAAGTTTTTAATAAATTTTTTTATTTATAATACAAGTATTATTTAGAAAATATATAATTTTTAAATTTTGCATTAGTAGACTAAATTTATGTTATAAGTAAATTCATGAACTTATTTTGATCCATAACATTCATAACATTCTAGAAGAAATCGAAACTCTTAAACTGGAGCAAACACGATTACAACAACTACACTCCGACGCACAACGTCGGGAGAAAATCCTCATGCGACGTTTGGCGAACAAGGAGCAGGAATTTCAGGATTATGTGGTAAGAAAATTTCATTACATTGTAAAATTTTTTAAAATACCCATTTATTAGATTTTAGATATTCCAATACTTATAAATGTATCGTTTAGATACATAATTTTTTATCCATTTACTAAAGAATATATTAGTACTTTCAACTGCGAATACTTTCGTCTTCTATATTGTGAGAATTATAAGTTATTCCGATTAGAAAGGTTCGAAGAGAAAAGAAACCTAACTTTTAAAAAAGTAGCTTCTTTGTCGTCTACTCTTCCTATGTAGCTTTCGGCAAAGATAATTAACTTTATAAGTTATTTCTGTATAATATCTTGCTGCGCGGTTCTATAATCTGGAACAATTACAGAACTATGCATTAGTTTGGTTTATAAAAGGATTATAACAACCCGAGTTTGGTTGTTATAATCCTTTGTGTTTTTTCTGTATTACGAATATTTGCAGAATTTTCTATTAAAATTGAAAAATAAAGATTTTAAGAGCTGCGTTTTATTAGGTTCTACTTTTTTTATATTTTGTGTAATATATTTATAGCTGAACTAACAGATCAGTTAAAAATTAAAAGTTTTAGCAGAATGCAAGAGATTGAACTCACTTCTTTCATTTAATGGGGTATTAAAGAAACTATCTATCTAAAATATAATAGTACTAAAACTCGAATATTTGTTAACTAAAGAGACAGTTATCCAAATAAATGTGTGCTCCATATTGATGATGTCGCTTTCATTTTAAGAGACCAAATTGTTCCTTTTTATCTTAGAGATTATTTATTTCTTTCTTTATCGTGTTGTTATATTTTGTCAATCATATTTATGGATTTCTTTGTTTCAGAGTCAAATCGCTGAATACAAAGCTGCACAAGCCCCTACTGCATTGGCGTTACGGTCGGCTTTACTTGATCCAGCCGTGAATATACTCTTTGAAAAACTAAAGAAAGAGTTAAAAGCTACTAAAGCTAAACTAGAAGAAACCCAGAATGAATTGGCAGCATGGAAATTCACACCGGATTCAAATACGGGCAAGAGATTAATGGCTAAATGCCGCCTATTATACCAGGTAATAATAATGAATATAAAATGAAATACATATGAATATGAAATTGACTTGGTATGCTTATTTCATTTGTTAGGAAAATGAAGAATTAGGAAAAATGACTTCTAATGGACGTTTGGCTAAATTGGAGACAGAATTAGCAATGCAAAAGAGTTTCAGCGAAGAAGTAAAGAAATCCCAATCAGGTATAATTTAGACATAAGTAAACAAATAATTCTTTATTATTAACTCTATAAATTTTATTATTTAGAGCTTGATGACTTTTTGCAAGAATTGGAAGACGATGTGGAAGGTATGCAGAGTACAATTCTATTTCTACAGCAAGAATTAAAAATTGCTAAGGAACGTATCGATGACTTAGAAAAAGAAAATATCCAACTTAAAAATGGTGTTACAAGCAATGGAAAAGAATTGGTTGAAGACGAAGAGATTATGCACAGGCCACTTATTGAACAAAATGGAAATTCGTTAACCGATGCAACTGACGCAAGTTACGATTACGATGAATCCGAACAATTACAAATACAACAACAACAACACCACCAACAGCAGCAACAACAACAGCAATACCTTCAGCAGCATCATCATCAACAACAACAACACCATCAACAAGAACATCAGCAACCAGAACATCTACAAGAACATCATCCGCAAGAACACATTCACCATCAGCATCATCATCTGCAACATCCACATCTGCAGCAAGCTCATCATCTACATCAAATTCAAATGCAACAAATGCACACAACAAATGTCAACGAAACAAAGTATCATATTCCAGCACCACTAGAAAATATTGATGAAAATGGCTGTTTACGTACGCATATGTCCACGAGCATTTACTATAATGATGAGCCGCAAATACTGGCACCGTTACCCATACCCATTCAGATGCTAGGTGAAGAATGTAATAGCAATAGCAGCAGCAATAATAGTAATGCACCCGGCAAAATTAGAACAGTAGCTGCACGTAAACGCAATTATGACAGCGATTCCGATAACTTGAATACTCCCGCAGTAGCAACTATTTTACAGAAACTGTCCACACCGCGTACGTTGCCACCTAAAAAATCAAAATTAGGTCGCACACCGGCAAGACGGACTTCAATGGACTCAACGGATATGACTGACTGTGACATGAGTCATATAGTGTCAGTTGGAGGAGTTGGAGGAGTTGGCATCGGCAATGGTACAGCCACCAATTTGGTTGTTGATAATACAGTTGGAGGAAGTATGACAACTGAAGAGAATAGTGCTATGATTGTAGATGAAGTAATTGACAGCAATGGTGTGCCACAACGTATAATGACGCGACGTATGTCGATACGACAAAATGGCATAATCACTGATGGCTATCATTGAGATTTTAGTCAATATAAGAAATAGAATTATATCTGATATTTGGCATATGCTATGTGACTGACGGCCGATGTCTGTATTTGATTGATTATGTATAAAATATGGTGGTCCTTATGAAATGCAATGTTTATTAAGTTTATGCTATTTTTATTATATATATTGTTTTTTTTAGTAATTTATGAATTGATTTAAATAGTTATAAAAACATAATACAAATCTGTAAATAGTAATTTAAACTAAACATTTTTAAACCGCGCAGGTTGACGAGTATAAATTGTTTTCATTCTTATTTTGTACACAGAAAATTTTTAATTTACAGATTTTCATACTAAGACAAATTAAAATTATTATATTTAATTTTTGCATGACTCAATATTTTTTTAAGCGTATTCCAAGCGTAAATAAAAAACGAAGTCTCCTTTGAATTATTTTAAAATGCTATATATTATATTTAAAGTTATTCAAAATTGGCTCTGTTGAACTTTCAAATGTATAATAATTCAATCGTTGTTTTAGTTTTGTTAAATAAAAAAAATGAAATAATAAATTTAAATTTAACAAAGACTATAAACAAGAATAAATTCTCAAACATTATTTAATAACAAAAAACAAAAAATAAAAAATAATAATAATAAATGAAATAAGAATTATAATCAATATTTGATTGTTATGTGTGAAAAAATGCTTAAAATTATCCAAAATAGGCCACGATAATAACAAATAAACTTCTGCTGTATGATTTTTAATAATTTTAGGCATTTTTTAACACGTACATATTTCATACTATATTATAATTTAGTAAATGAATAATAGAAAATGAATGAGTTTGTATAAAAACCTTATTTATCCTTTTTTAATGGCATTGAAAATGCGTTTGCGTAGTTTAATCATTTTAGCTGTAAGTACTAAAAGTTTAGATAATCATCTGTTACACAATGATCAATGAATATAAATTATGTATAACTTTCGTTATCTAATTATTTGAAATACAAATCCGCAGTTATGAAAATCAAATTGTATTACATTTGTTAGTACTAAAATTAAAATGTTTACAAACAAGCATTATCTTTTGTGCCTGCTTTGTATTAGTACACACGCCTTTAGTATAAAAATGTTTTAAATGATGAGTTTTATTAATTTTAATCTAGTTATAATCCATGCATAATAGTGTTTATTTTATAAGCATATTTACATACAACAATGTTTAGTACAATTGTTTAGTACTATTTAGTCCATTCTAATTGCTATATTCAGTTGTTACTAAAATTCTTTACTAAATGTTTAGATATGCTTATATCGTAAACTATATGAATTATAATGTTAAGTTTTATTTCATAAATATATTTTAGTCAATATTCACTTAGTTACAATAAGTACAATTGTACTCAATAATAAAATAGTCTCATGTTATAAATCGGCATACAATATTTTTACTACATTAAGCTTAACTTACATTAATCCTCCATGTAAAAAATGTTTGCAAAACGAAATCATTTGAATCTTCCAGAGAAAACATTGACATCGCAATATAATTTACGAATCAACTGAATACACTTTTTAATCAAATGGAAAAATCATGTTTAAACAAATTTATTTAAAAAAGAAACATCGTTTTTTGTAAAATAATTTAAATTTATAACTGATTTAGTTTAAGTAAAATTTAAAAATTTATATAATTTAATGTCTAAGTAATGATAATAATATAAATTTGATATATCAAAATTAGTGTTTTTGTAATGTTTGTGCATAGGATATAGATTGTTAAAAAAATTAAGGATGTCTACTGTTCCATTAGCTTTCACACGTTGCTAGGACTAGTCTTTTGACACTTATTTATTTACATTTATTATGGGGTGAAAGGCATTACTTAATTGGTTTCTTAAAAGAAGAAACTTAGCTATTATAATTGAAACAATGATTTGCCGATCTCTAGTGAAAGATTAATTTTTATATATGTCTCTGTATTTCTCTGTGATTGCCCAGCTCTAGCATCCAGAAGATATAGGTTCTTAGGAAAATACTTTTGTGATAGTTTATCAGACTGCTCAATGGTAAGGATGAAAGACCTGTTAAATTACCTAAATTCGGTGGGATGGATTTAGTCTCTACTCTTCTATACTAGGGTTCTTGCGAGGAATGTGGTAACAAAACGGCGAAAAATCACTAATTGAGGTACATTTGAAGTTATCTTATGACCTGCCACTGCAACCAACCAACCATATATGTAAAATATATACAATTCTTACCGACTTGCATACGTTGACTTCTGATGCGATATTATTGTTAAATTACATTTGTTTGTAATTTAATACATTACTATTATTAAAATTAAGACAACAAAACATTATGCTCTCATAGAATGTTTGTGTTAATTCCTCAATTTTAAGTGTCAAATATCAAACATAAAAAGCTGATGACATCAAAACTCCACAAAAAATGGAATGCGAAAAGATAGCTTCTAAGGTAGTTATAATCATTTCTCCCATTTTGGAATAATCCATCAGTTATTTTTAGTTATTCCAGCTATTCGATACATTTAGTGTTCTAGGATTGCCTAAACACACATTGTTTAATTAAAATGATTGGCGATCAAGAGAAATATAATTTAGACGAAATTTGAGGTCAAAGTTAGTGAGAGATTTACGAGAAATAATAATAAATTGTAATATTGAAATCTAGCAATAATATTTATTATGTTGAGGCTAGTTGAGTCAGTGCACTTATACTCTCTATTAACTGCGAGGTTTCTTCATAACCCCTCTCAACGCCTTGAGTGGATTATTGTTTTTTACTTCTTCAGATTAAGCAATAACAGACCTCAGATA